CTATGAAGTTATATCTTTAAAAAAAAACCAACGAAAGCAATGTGATGTAAAGCGTATCACCATAATGATGAGGCAGCGCGTGGTCACGCAAAATACATCTTCTGTGGACTAGACTGTCTCTTTTCACAGCCATTTATGCAGCCGACACGAGCAGCCTACGGCCTATAGACTGTGGTCAATAGTGACCACGGTGGGGAGGGATTATGATTTATTTTGCGTCTTCAACCCAACTAAACGCTTGGTGAGATGAACATGTCTGAAATAAAGTCATGGCTGATTCACTGTCTCACGTCTTGTTGAAGTATAAACCAAGCTTCACCCTGTCACAGACTGAAAGGATGCAGGTCAATAAAAAAATCCCTTTTTGAATTTGAACTGAATTTTTCCAAAAATGACACCTTCAAGTTTGAAGGACAAGCCTAATGCATTTAAGACATAAGTTTTATGGTCAAATGTGACAAAGACTGATCTGTTTTGAAGCTTTTTAAATGTAAGGACACCGTACTTAACGTAGCGATCAGAGGATGGCCTACTGTTCTACTGACCCACACCACCTCCAGTCAACAATAAAACCAGTTACAACCCAGCAAACACATGCAGACGCTGTAATGACTGGTTCAAGACGAGTCCAAGTACAGGATATGTTGAAGCTTTTTAATTTCAGCTGGGTGTCGCCCCACCCTCTGATGAGGAAACCTGGCTCAGATCCTGCTCTGGCTTTGAAAGGAGAAAACAACTTTACCACTCCAGATGTGTTTCTGTTCCCACACATGAAAGAGTACAAGGATTGAAGTCTGATGTGTTCTCAGTATATCAYGGTTTCAAATAAGCTTTAAAGAAAAAAACATGTTTATAGCATCTGAGGCTTATTGGCGTGTGTTGGAAGCTTAGGAAAAAAGACCCATCTACATGTGATTAGACCACAGAAACCTGAAGGAGGTTCAGCTGCTTGGAGCTTTGTTGGCAAGAGCCTAATTTATTACCCGGTCTGGACTTGATTCCACTTTTAATAATGTCATTTTAGTAGTGCTCCTTCTGCAGGATCTTTCTGTCTTGTAAATAATCGCGTCTGGTCTTGTGGATGTGTTGCCAGCACATCTGGATATGTTGGAGATGTTTTGCTTGCACACCCAGAGTTGCCCAGGAAGACATTTGAAATCAAGTGAACTGTTTCACATTTTCTTGCTCTATAGGACTACTTTGTTGTCTTGTACTTTGAAATCCTAGACGTAGTACAATACAGTGATCTTTTTGTCTACTTMCCTCTTCAGTGAGTGGAAAAACAGTACTTCACAACCAACCCCAGTTTTTAAAAGACTCTAACCTGGTTGTCCAGTCATCAGAAGTCTTTGTCTTTCCTGCAGTCATTTGCTGCCTGATAAAATGCATGGAGGAATATAATCAAATTACTTCACTTTWGGTGATACATTATAGGATAAGAAATGTTGTGTCATAGTTGATGTGTCTTTTCACTGATTTGAATAACACCTGTCGGGTGGGAACAGAGCGGTGGTTCCCATTTCTTTTTGTGTTTCACTTATCATGGGATCAGACTTCTCAGCCTCCAGTTTACATAGAGTGTTGGAAGGAAGGCTCTCTCACTTGTCAAACCTCAGATTCAGGAGGAGCAGTGTGGCTTTTTTGTKCTGATCTTGGARCAGTGGACCAGATCCTCACCCTCGTGGCTTGGCTAAGCAGGGGTCATAGGAGTTTGATTMCCCCAGTGGACCTGGAAAATGTTTAAAACTACATTCTGTGAGGGGTACTGTGGGAGTGTGGGGTGCTAGGGTTGCTTTTAAGGACTATCTAGTCCCTGTATAACCAAAGCCGGATCTATGTCCCTGTGCAGGTTGGACTCTGGGGTCTCKTCTTTGCTTTTTACAGATAATGTGTTCTGTTGGCGTCCTCAGATGACTGTCAGCGTGCACTGGGGTGGTTTACGGCTGAGTGTGAAGCAACTGGGATGAGAGTCAGCTCCTTTAAGTCTGAGACCGTGGTTCTCTAACATAAACGAGTGGAATGCCCCATGCACATCGGGTGGGAGTCTAATCCTCAGGTGAAGAAGTTTGATTATCTGGACATCTTGTTCACAAGTGATGTAGGATGGAGCAAAAGATGGATAGACGGATCTGAGCTTTTCTTCAATAATGAGGGCATTGCTTCAGTCGGTCCTGTTGAAGAAGGAGCTGAGTCAAAAAGCAAAGCTCTTGATTTATTGGTCTGTCTACATTCCATCTGTCGTCTATGGTCATGTGGACAAGATCCTGATTGAAAGAACAAGTTACTGGATACAAGAGGCCAAAAGGAGCTTCCGTCTGTGTCTCACCCTTAGAGATAGGGCAAGGAGCTCCGTCATCTGGTAGGAGCTCTGAGTAGAGGTGCTGCTCCTTTGAATCAAAAAYAAGTCAGTTGAGGTGGTTCGTCTGTTTAGGATGCTTCCCGATCACCTCCCTTCAGAGGTTTGTCAGGTATGTTCCACTGGTAAGAGGCCCCAGGGCAGACCCACAGGTTGGATGCATATTCTCTGGCCTGGAAACACCTCGGGGCCCCTGAGGTGAAGCTGGAGAGTGTCACATGGGAGAGGGATGTCTGGGTTTCTCTTCTGGACCTGTTGGCTCTGCAGCTCGACCACAGATAAGTGGTAGAAGATGGAAATGGAAATCACTTATGTTCTTGCTTTATTCTCAAAGTAATAATCCAAACACAGAAAGCTTGAACTTTAATTAATGTTCATATCAAACATTGGAAATATGTAACCTCAGCGTCTGAATGTGTCAAACAGCTAGTGATGATTTAGTGGATAACAGTAGAAACAGTTGGCAAAAAATCTTAGAAGTGACCAACCCAAGTTCACCCTGTGGACCTGATTATACAATAATCAGAGAAATTACAAAGAAACATTACCATTGAACACTTCACAAGCCACAGAGAGGTCCTGACCCCCAACTTTAGAAAGCACATAAATAAGTTAGGTTGTAATTTACAAAACTAATTCAGTTATTAAAAATGTCATAAATCCACATTTTATTCACAATGATACAAAATGTGTCAAATGTTTACAGCTGATGAGAGGTCTGGACTCCAGGCAGGTCATTTCAACACCTGAACACGTGACGTCTACTTCAGAATCATGTTTTTTAAGCTACTGTATGTTGAATGTCACATGCAGTTTAGTCTCGCCTTACATAAGAATACAATGTATTACCATTAAGCAACATATGTTGTTCTAAAACCTGTACAAACTTGTATGTGCTGGTCCCCTTCCAGGTGTGTGAGCTTCGCTTATAACAGGCACCAATGCACCTCTATACCGAGGCAGACAGAAACTAAGCAGTATTTACATATGTTCCCTCTCCTCTTTATTATGGAGGACATGGTTCCTGTGGTTTCCAAAAACATTCTTTTTTTCATCACCTTTTGGTTTGATGTTTTGAATGAAGTCTGACTTCTTTGCTTGATCGAGCTGTAACCAGCATTTGTGGCAGGGTGAAACATTTTAAAAGATTACCTTGCAGAAGGGTTCCTGAGTCCATGCAGGGATGTCCACGACAGAATTAGACCTGACCTGTTTTTAATGGTCCAAAGATGATTTATTGACTCTGCCATGTTGTTTGAGCTCAGTGAGACAGGTTCTTGAAATATATTAATAATTATAAACTTTAGATCAGTGGCGCCCAAACATTTTCCCCAAGAGGGTCAAAATGAAAATCTATCCAGGTCTGCGGGTTATATGCAGTAATATAATACATGAAATACAAATACTTTTTAAAGTAAAGTCCTTTATTTTTAACGATTAAGCTATGCAGTAGCCCTCTTTTGTTTTAGTCTGTGCACTTGGTGAAAGTCTGCCATACTTTCAAGTCCTATGTCCCATGAGCAAAGGCTCATGGGACATTGTTATTATTATATTTATAAATGGTCAAGTGGGACATTTCATAAATTGATAAAATGAGTTTTTGTGGCCTTATAAAGTGTGCAAATCTACACGTGGGGTTAAATA